TCAAATGGTATTTCTGGTTCTAGATCCTTGAGGAACTGCCACACTGTCTTCCACTATGGTTGAACTAATTTATATTCCCACCAGGAATGTAAAAGTGTTCCTATTTCTCCAAAGCCTCACCAGCATCTGTTGTTTCTTGACTTTTTAATAATTGCCATTCTTGACTGGTGTGAGATGGTATTTCATTGTGGTTCTGATTTGCATTTCTCAAGGCGAATCATTTAAATGGGGATCTGATTGGGAATGGTCAAAATTCATGACATGACTGGTTAGTCTTGGTGAACAGGGCAAGGTGAAAAATCAAGTTTTGGATAAGCAAACAGCGGTTTGACAAGTGAACTGTTTGCCCAGGTAAATAATCTATTGTCCTGAGAAGACAGCTGTTTTCCAGGTGAGCAAACTATTTGCTTGGCCAAAAACAAATAGGGAAGTTACTTATTGATTTATAGACAATAATTCCCTGGAAAGAGTAGTTGTCATGTTGATAGAGATGGTCATAGTGCTTAGTTCTGAGAGGTAAGCTCTGTTCACCGATGCAAGTGGTCTCAATTCTCAGCACTGAGGTCCTCCCTAAGAATGAGCATGAACCAGAAACACTACAGTGGTGGTTCCAAACTTTGCTGAAGAGCTTCACAAAATATTGATGTCTGGTTCCCATCCTTGAACATTCTGATTTAGTTGGTAAGGGGTGCATCCTGTGCTTTGGGATTTTTAAAAGCTTTCCAGGTGATTACAAAGGGCAAAGTTTGAGAACCACTTCATTAGAGTTAAAGGAGAAAGCAGACATAAAAAGACTATTTGGGTGATGGTGATATGGCCAGATCCCATCTCTATAACATGAAAAAAAAAATTAGCTGGGCATGGTGTTGCATGCCTGTGATCCTCGCTACTTGGAAGGGTCAGACAGGAGGATCACTTGAGCCTGGGAGGTAGAAGCTGCAGTGATGCAGTGAGATGTGTTTGTGCCACTGCACTCCAGCCTGAATTATAGACTGAGACTGTATTAGTCTGTACTCATGAGGCTAATAAAGACAATCTGAGACTGGGTAATTTATCAAGGAAAGAGATGTAATTGACTCACAGTTCCACATGGCTGGGGAGGGCTTACAATCATGGCAGAAGAAAAGTCATGTCTTAGATGGCAACAAGCAAGAGAGCTTGTGCAGGGGAACTCCCACTTACAAAACCATCAGATCTTATGAGACTCAGTACCACAAGAACGGTATGGGGGAAACTGCCCCCATGATTCAATTATCTCCACCTGGCCTCACCCTTGGCACTTGGGGTTATTACAATTCAAGGTGAGATTTGGGTGGGGACCCACCCAAACCATACCAGAGACACTGTCTCAAAAAAAAAAAAAAAATTCACAGCATATTAGAGGTTGAAATCAGGACCCCAGAATAGGTCTGTTCTGTAGCTTCCACCATAAGCAGCATAAAGGGGAGATGGAGAAGACATGCCACATGGGCTGCTGGTGGGTGTGGCATGGCAGGCTTCGTGGGAGGTCAGACAGAGGGGACTGAGGCACAGGGAAGGTTACTGTGGTAATCAGAGTGGGGAGAATTGTCTTGAGCAAAGGAGAGAGCAGACAGCTGAGAGCTGTGATCCAACAGAAAGAAGCCTGAGGTAAGAATTCCAGAAGTGGGGGATACCCCTCAGGGGCATTGTAGAGGAGAAGGAGAAAGATGTGGAGTAATGGAGGATGACCTGCATGGGGAGAAGAAAGAACCCCATGAAGACGTGGAGGTGGCCATGAGCAGACACGAGGCCATAGTATCACTGATTTGAAGAGGACAGTGTGGATAGATGACATGGAGTCCAAAAGATGAATGAGAAAGGAAGACACCTGTGTCTTGGGAAATGGCCTAGAAATGGCCCCGCGGGGTGAGGCAATCCTGCCCAACCCCCTTCACTGCTGAAGATAAGAAGGGGCTTGAGAGGAGGTGAAGACTGCCTGGAAATTCTGCAGGAAGCCCAGGGCCTTTAGGGAGACTGAGAGCCATAGGGCCAAGAGAGGCAGGTAAGGGACAAGCACAGGTTAGCGTTAAGGTGAGCTCATCCCTACAAAGCAGGAGTTTCACAGAGCATAAGGCATATAGCAGGTGGTGAGAAGGACAGGGTGGAGAGGCGTGCGTGAAGTTGCGGGGTGAACTGTGTACGAGAAAGCAGAGAATCAGAATGCAGATTGCAAAGAGGAAGGTGCAGCTGGCAAGACAGCACTGGTGGGCTGACAACTGTCTTTGCTGAAAAAGATAAACAAACCAGACTCTCCTAAGAATTAGATATTATTTTTCATTCCTTCAAAGAGTATTTAATTTTTGCCAGGCACAATGGCTCACGCCTGTAATCCTAGCACTTTGGGAGGCTGAGGCGGGCAGATTGCCTGAGCTCAGAAGTTCGAGACCACCCTGGGCAACATGGTGAAACCCCATCTCTACTAAAAATATAAAAATTAGCCAAGCATGGTGGCAGGAGCCTGTAGTCCCAGCTACTCGGGAGGCTGAGGCAGGAGAATTGCTTGAACCTGGGATGAGGTTGCAATGAGCCAAGAATGTGCCATCATCCTCCAGCCTGGGCCACAGAGTGAGACTCTGTCTCAGAAAAAAAAAAAAAAGGACTGAATATTAATTTTTGAATAGGACATCCAGTCATTCCATGGTTGAAATATCCAAAGGCTACCAAAAGGAGATACAGTCAAAAGCCTCCCTTCTATTTCTGTCTCTGCTTAGTCCAGCTCCCACATCTCCAATAGGCAAGCTTTGTTAGAAGCATCTCATGTCACATCCACACAGGAAAGCTTGTGTATACACATGTCAGCATATATGAATACCTGTTCCCCCTCCAATTTACACAGCAATGGCATGTTATGAGGGCAGCTGCTGTTGCACAACTCCAGGGGTGCCATGTGCATAGAATACAATGGAAATGGTGACCCGAAAGTTGTTCAACATGGAAGAATTTGACAATATGTGCAGTTTTTTCACATAACAATAAGGCCTGCATATCTTTCTATATCGGTACCTAAAACACGTTTATCCTTTTTTACAGCCACTACTATGCCATAGTATGGATATACCAGAATTTATTAAATTTACCTACAACAGATATTTTGTTTATTATAATTAATTACGTGCTTTATAAACAATGCTGAGTATTTCATTTTGTACCTGTGCAACTACATAAAACAAATTGCTCAAAGGGTAGTTACTGGTCAAATGATTTCTGCTAAAAGTAGATTGGCAAATGTTTTCTGTAAAGGTCCAGATAGTAAATATTTTAGTTTTTCAGGCCATATGGTCCCTGTCTCAACTCTCGACTCTGCCACAGTAGTGCAAAAGCAGCCATAGACAACATGTAAATGAATGAACATGGCTGTGTTCCAATAAAACTTTATTTATGGAGACTAAAATTTGAATTTCATATCATTTTCATATGCTGTAAAATAGTATTCTTCTCTTGATTTTTGCTGCAACAATTTAAAAATGCACAAGCCTTTCTTACCTCATGGGCTATACAAAGACAGCAGCCCACAGGCTATAGTTTGCCAACCTCTTGTTTATGCAATAGAAATTCTGATAAGTATGGGCTGGGCGTGGTTGCTCATGCCTGTAATTCCAGCACTTTGGGAGGTGGAGGCGGGCAGATTATGAGCTCAGGAGATTGAGACCATCCTAGCCAACATGGCGAAACGTGGTCTCTACTAACAGTATAAAAGAATTAGCTGGGCGTGGTGGAGCGCACCTGTAGTGCCAGCTACCCAGGAGGCTGAGGCAGGAGAATCGCTTGAACCCGGGAGGCAGAGGTTGCAGTAAGCCGAGATCGAGCCACTGCACTCCAGGCTGGCGACAGAGTGAGACTCCATCTCAAAAAAAAAAAAAAAAGAAAGAAAGAAATTTTAAGTTTTACCAAATTGACCTTTATATAGGTTGTATCACTTCATAATCCCAACAGACATATATAAGCTGCTATTTTCCTCTAAGCCTTGCCAATAAAGTGTATTATTGAGCTTTTGGATTTTTGTTTAATGGGTGAAAACAGTATTTCAGAGTAGTTTTAATCTGTATTTCTCTGACATTGGGCTTATCTTCATCTCTTTAAAAGTTATTTATAGTTCTCTGCAAACCATCAGTTTATATACTTTGATACACTTCACTTGAAATATCAAGTTTTTATGGGTAAATCTTTTTCTTTAAAAAATTGAAGTGACTTTGTTGTATTTTTCCGATTCTAAAAGTGATTATGATTATATGCTTGTACTAAAAATAACTAAATGAAAAAATAAGTATGATTTATAATCTCATTCCCAGAAATATCTACTTTTTGCATTTGTGTGTTTATTTTCCAGGCCATTTTCCAGACATTTTTATATAGACATTTTTAGAAAAACATGATTCATTCAACAAAATATTTATTGTGTTATAAGTATTATAAGGGTCATATGACATATACCATTTTCTAATGCTTTTCACATAGTAGTAGATAATGTAAATTTTATTCTTAGCCTGTCAGTACAGAAACTTGAGTCAGAAAAGTACAAAATACAATTCAACAAGCAATAATGCAGTTTCTGTCATTCCCTCTGGGCTGATGTGTCTGTCACAAAGCAGTGTTAAAAGCTACCTCTTTGCTGGACTAGACAGAATCTTCATTTAAAAGCACTTACTGAGGACCTTACTATATGCCAGACTCTATTCTAAATATTAGGGCTGTAACAAGATAAAGGTCCCATCTATTTCCTGATCTTATGGAGCTCAGTGAAGGAGGCAATAGACAAGAGAATCTCAGTCTGGGATGTGTGTTATAAAGAAAATAACAAAGTGATGTAACAAAGATGGATAAGGGAGCTGAGTTAGATTAGTCAGCAGATAAGTTCCCTTTAAGAAGGAGACAAACTGGCTCAGACCAGATTGACAAAAAGAAGCTATAACAGCACTGACTCCATGCTAGAGAAACACTTTCTCACTTAAACATAATTACTACTTTGCTTGAATTTTTAGATTATTTATTAAAAACAGCTTCAGGAAAACAGGACCTTCAAGAGAGAGAAAAAGAACCAACAACTCCGAAAATGGGCTGCCCACCCTGATCAGAACAGGTGATGCATCTTCAGGAGCTGCAGCACATTGACCAGGAAAGTAATGACGAATGGCCTGCCTGAGACTGCGTCCATTTCACAAGAATGTTTTGATCATCATTTCCCCTAATTTCCCTTAAAAACCCCTTATCTGGAGATGCAGCTCAGTGAGGTGGTCTTTGAACACTAGTTCACTGCCTCCCCCAAGTTGCTGGCTTCTCAAATAAAGCTAACTTTCCTTTGATCAAAGCTAGCCTCTTGAGTTTTTGGCTTTCAAGTAAGGAGCAGCCCCGACCTGAGTTTGGTTACACAGCCAACCAGGTAAAGGTGTGGGGAAGACAACTGCAGCCTGAAGAAACACACATCCAACAGACTTGACTGGGCCTGCAAACAGGAATATGGCTAACACAAAGATGGAGGCATAAAAAAAGAGAGTGGTATGGCTCAGGCCAGACAGGAGGGTCAGTCTATGGAAGCCTTGAAGACCAGAGCAGGGAGTTTGGCTTTTATTTAGAAGGCAATTGGAAGTCATTGGTGGATTGATGAGATCTGATATACATTTTTTTGAGACAGGGTCTGGCTCTGTTGCCCAGGCTAGAGGGCAATGCAGCAATCATGGCTCACTGCAGCCTCAACTTCCTGGGCTCACGTGATCCTCCCACCTCAGCCTTGATCTACATTTTTAAAGAGATTATTCCAGTTTAGACTTGCCAGATAAAATACAGGACATCCAGTTAAATTTGTCAGATAAACAATGAATAATTTAAGGAGAATAAAAAATATTTTAATAATATTTTACATACAAAACATTACCTGTTGTTTATCCAAAATTTGGTATTAACTGTGCTGTCCTGTATTTTTATTTGCTAAGTCTAGCAACACTATTCTGTTTATTGTGCAGATTTGGAAAGTGGGTGGATGCAAAATATGTTTTGGAGGGAGCCCCAAAAATATTTGCTGACAGATTGCTGTGGGATAGGAAGAAAGAAGAGGCTTCAAGGATGATTCCTAGGTTTCGGACACCTGGGGTGATAACTGCAGAGTGTGTGTGGTTTGTTCATTCTACAGTCTGAAGATGTGAATAATAATAAAATCAAAAGAAGACATAAAGTGATTTAAAGCAAACTAAGGAATCTCTTTCTTATCAAGAACCAGCAGATCTCCATCCCCGCCTCCCCAAATCAACTGAGATCAATATACTTAAAAGCCTGTTTATTCATTTTCTTTGTTTTGTAGAAAGTAAACTTTTAAATTATTATTTGGATGAAGAAAAAAAAGAAACATAAAATATTACTCATTAATTAGAACAAGCACTAGTTTTGGCTCCATCCAATGGCCAGTTTCCCATTTTATAGCAAGTAATAAATGACCCTGAGGAGAGAGGGAATGGGGAGTAGAAAAGACAGAGGCAAGGTAGGGAGATACTAACGGCAACAAGAATACAAAAGAAAAGGTTATTCAATGGGTGTGGCTTGTAACCCCCCTAATGAACAATCTTCTTATTCCTTTGGTTACCCTAAAGTATTAAGGCATAGCTTATGTGGGCTAACAATAGCAGTTCACTAGCCTGAGGAGTGGGAAGAGAAGGAATATTTATTGAGCCACCCTGCTAGATACCAAGGGCTTTATATAAATTTGCTCATTTTTTACAATCTATGATATAGGTATGTTTATTCCTGCTTTACAGAAATTAGTGACTTGTCCAATAACAAAAAATAAAATGGTTAGATGGACTTGGATTTGAATGCAGGTCTGTCATCTTCCTTTCTATTTTTTTTTTTTTTTTTTTTATTTACACTTCAGTGACATTTTCTTTTTTCTTTTTTATTTATTTTTTTTATTTTTATTTTTATTTTTTTAAAGAAGGGAAAAAAAAGAAAAAGAGGGAAAAAGGAATATTACTTCATTCCTAAAATGGGTTTCAATAATGGCCGATCAATATTTTGAGTGTTTAAAGTGGTTAATGCATATTTTATGTGTTTAAAATGGAGACCTCTATTGTGTTTATTTGTTCTGGCTCTGAGTTCAAGTCCTGGATATCGTTATCAATTTGTTGTCTCGTTGACTCTAAATCTCTTTATGTGTCTTATGTATCTGGGTGTTAAGATCTCTTATTGTTGCATTAATCCTTTTACCCTTGCATCCTTGTAGCTTTGAAATCTATTTTATTAAATGTGAGAATTGCAACTCCTGCTTTTTATTTATTTATTTTTGCTCTTCATTTGGTTGGTGAGTTTTTTTCCATCCCCTTGTTTTGAGTCTTTGTATATCTTTAGATATATCATTAGATTTTGTGGATAATATATATTTTGTGTGTTTAAAATGGAGAGCTCTATTGAGTTTATTTGTTCTGGATCTTAGTTCCAGTCCCGGATATCGTTATCAATTTTCTGTCTCATTGAATCTAAATCTCATTATGGGTCTTATGTATCTGGGTGTTAAGATCTCTTATTATTACATTAATCCTTTTACCCTTGTATCCTTGTAGCTTTGAAATCTATTTTGTCAAATGTGAAAATTGCAACTCCTGCTTTTTATTTATTTATTTTTGCTCTCCATTTGGTTGGTACATTTTTTTTTTCCAACCCTTTATTTTGAGTCTATGTATATCTTTGGATATACCGTTAGATTTTGTCTGTATCTTTTAATTGGGAGATTTGGTCAATTTAAATTTAGGGTTGCTGCCATTTGATATTAACTGGCTATTTTGTCCTTTCGTTTATAAAAATTCTTCTTTATGTTAATGCTCTTTACTTTTTGGTGTATTTTTAGAAAGGGTCATACTGGTTGTTCCTTTCTGTGTATAATGCTTCTTTTAGAAGTTCTTGTAGAGCAGGCCTGGTGGTAATAAAATCTCTGAGTACTTGCTTGTTCCTGAAAGATTTTATTTTTCCTTCAAATGTAAAGCTTAAATTGGCAGGATATGATATTCTGGGATGAAAGTTCTGTTGATTAAGTATATTGAATATTGGCCCCCACTCTCTTCTAGCTTATAGGGTTTCCGTTGAGAGATCTGCTGTAAGCCTAACAGGCTTACCTTTATGGGTAACTTGATCTTTCTCTCTGGCTGCCCTTAATATTTTCTCCTTCGTTTCGATCTTGGTGAATCTAACGATTATGTGCCTTGGGGTTGGTCTACTTGAGGAATATCTTTGTGGTGTTCTCTGTATTGCCTGGGGTTGAATAGTGTCCTGCTTTGCTAAATTAGGAAAATTTTCCTGGATAATGTCCTGGAGAGTATTTTCCAGCTTGAATTCATTCTCTCCGTCACATTCAGGTACACCAATCAAGCTTATATTAGGTCTTTTCACATAGTCCCATATTGCTTGGAGACTTTGCTCATTCCTTTTTATCCTTTTTTCTCTATTCTTGTCTTGTTGTTTTGTTTCATTAAGTTGATCTTCGACCTCTGATACCCTTTCTTCTGCTTGATCCATTCAGCTGTTTAAGCTTGTACAAATTTCACTAAGTTCTCGTGTTGTATTTTTCAACTCCATAAGTTCATTTGTATTCCTCTCTATATTGTCTATTCTTTTCAACATTTCATCGAACCTTTTTTCCAAGTTCTTAGTTTCTTTACATTGGGTTAGAACAAGTTCCTTTAACTCCCAGAAGTTTCTTATCATCCACCTTTTAAAGCCTACTTCAGATAATGGAACACAGTCCTTTTCCATCAGGGCTTGTTCCGTTACTGATGAGTCCTTTTCCATCAGGGCTTGTTCAGTTGCTGATGAGTCCTTTTCCATCAGGGCTTGTTCTGTTGCTGATGGGTTCTGATTTTGAGTATACTCGGCCTTCTTAGGCTGTTTTTTTCCCTTCATTGTAGATGAACCGCCTTTCTAATTAGTTTTCTGAGTCGACGTCCGACTTATTGATTCCCAGTGCTGGGAACCGAGCAACCCACTGTGGCGGCCTAAATAGCAGCGATAAGACTGATGGTGCTCTTCTGCCCGGGAATCTCTGGTCTGGCTTCCCTCTTGAGTCCGCAACAAGCGGCTCTGACTTCCCGGAGCTCCAAACTCCGGTCAGTAGGGGAAGCAGTCCCGTTGGCTCTGCATGAAGAGCTGCTGCGCCTAGACGGCAAAACCGCTGCATCGGCCACAAGAGTCACGCTGGCAACCCATGGGGCTCCTCCACTGGGAATCGGCTGATCGGTGAGTGACGAAAATTTTTCTAAAAGTGTGGCGTCGTCTCGTTCTCTGGGCTTTCACTGGGAGCTACAGTCCTGAGCTGTTAGTGGTCGGCCATCTTCCTGTCATCTTCCTGAAGCCCAAATGTGGATTTTCTCTGATACCATCTTTCTTCACATGGTTTTAAAGATGTTAGGGTCGGAGCTGTGCTGCCTCAGAAAACCCCCTCCCCGTAGGCTAACCCCACCCCCATCTGATTGCTTGGCAGCTGCATTCCTGAACCCTACCTAGCCACCACATCAAGGCTGCCAGACTTGAAACAATTAAGCAACACCTGATTATAGCTTTCCAGGCAGCACGGGCAGCTCGGGCTGGCAAGGACAGGGAAAACATGTTGGTTATCCATGCTTGTGAATTCCTGTTTGACACATATTTATAAAAAAAAAATCTGATTTCTGTTTTTTTTTTTTAAAGACTGCTACCACAAAAGTCACAGAATGATGTATTGTAGGTCTGTTACAAGTTAACAAACTATCTCTGTGCCTGTTACCTAAAACTCCCTTATGCTTCCTCTCACCCCATATAAACCCGTGTCTTGTCAGCTGGGGCTGCCTCCTCTGATTGCTACCTAGCGGCCTGGCAGGTTAATAAAACTTGCTTGCCTGACTTTGCCTGAAAGGAGTTTCTCTCAGCTACCCTTACAAAAGAGTTTGAATATCTTCATGCATACTAAATATGTATAAGGAATTTCCTTGTTGACTCTTGTCTTCTTCACATATTCTTTAATCCCAGAAACAGCCTTTTTTAATGTTTAACTGTACCATTGGATATAAGTAAGGACAAAGCAGCAGAAAAGTAAATATTTCAGATTGATAATGTGGGAACAAAAATCTGCTTACAGATTGTGGCTGTTGCTAGGTGGGTAGTGGATCAATCTTTAGAGGAAAATACCTCTTTTGTTAGAAAGGCTTTAAAAGCCTTTTTGACTGTCTGAGATAAGGCCTAGGCTAAACTGAAATGGGGAAACTTGTTACAAAAGGAGGTAAATGTCATCTTAATTAAGTAAAGGTGGGTCTTCCTTAAGCAGAGAATTGTGGATTGGGTTTCTGAGGAAG